ACTCGATCCTTCTCTTCTGTTCCATCGCCATCCTTACTAAGGCTGAAGATCCCACCTCTTCACCAGCTCAGCAAAGCGCACCCTTCGTAGACCAGGCCACAGGCCTGGGTATGGAGCGCTTCTTCGGAGCTCGTACCTCGTTTGCCTTCGCGATGGCTCTGCCAGAAACAACTTCATCATCTTTCATCGGCCAATTGTCATTCCCGCTAGTCAACGGTGCTGGATGGGGCGCCATGGGCTTGACCGGCGACATGGAAGGAAACTTCTTCCTGGCAGCATGGCCGGATGGCAATGGTGGTGTCATGGCTACATTCCGCCAAGGAACCAACGAGGACAACCCACCCGAAGTCAAGGGCAACTTCGCCGTCCGGCCTATTGCAGAGGGCGTCTCCGTTAACGCAACGTCTCTGACTTATACCTTTCTCTGCGAGAACTGTCTAGATGCGACTTTGGGACTCGGTCCGGAGGCCACGAGTGCCAACGCCGTAATGGGATGGGCTCTGTCGGAGAAGGCCGTGAGAAACCCCGGAAACCCTGGGGCAACTTTGGGGTTCCACGAGAGAGGATTCGGTCCATTTACTGCGCGGCTAGGCAACGCAAAGTCTGCACAGTTTGATGCTGTAGCTGCCACAGCAGGGCCACCCGTTTCTGGGTCAAGTCGAGCGGTTGCGGTGACCCCCAATGCGTTCCGCGAGGGGGAGGGTGGAGATGACGATAAGAAGAAAGGGGGTGGGAAGGGTGGTGATGATGACGATGATGATGATGATTAGCCAATTGGTTAATTTACTAAATCTAAATAAAATCAACTGTTAAAGATTGCTCATTGAAGAGCTCTGCTCAACTCAATTCACCTTTACAATACACCAGTACTGCCTACATGTAGCTCCTGCAAAAGTTTTGAGTTTCCGACCACTTCTGGACCCCTCTGATTTGGTGCAAGCCTGAACTAGATCAACCGCATTCTGCTTCTGTGACAGCACGTATTTCCAGTGGGAAAGATTATACGTCTGAATAGCGTAGGAATTGGCAATCGTACTAAAACTAATATCGATAGTCAGGGTAGCAACAATGAGTGCTGTCCAAAACGTGAGGAGCTTTGACGGATTCCGCCTCTCCTGATCAACCGAGGTTTCAGAGCACCTCCCATACATCTCAATCATGGATCTTACCCCGCAAGAAGAATATACATCTTGGGCGGGATCCGTGTTCGACTCCCTTGCAAGGTAGATCACTGAGTTTATTGATATCGCAGATCTCAAAAACTGTCTTGAGTTCTGAACCCCTCTTGCGAGTGCGACCGTTCCAATCAGGGGCAGATCTACAGCAAAGTATCAGAAGAAACCTCCTTCCAGTCATCCACCAGTTTAATTGTGTCAGCACACTTCTTGGTCAACTGAGAAACTGCGTCCGGTCCAAGGGCAAGGCTGACAGGTAAGGGTCGCCCCTGAGCACTTCCTCTGGATCCGACCGTGTCAATGATGCGAGAAACCGCCTTGGCGGGATCTCCAGGTTGCTGTTGATGAGCTCCCTTAAATTGGGCATAGAGCGGATCAACAATAGGCTTGTAGTCCGGGTTCTTCGTCTCAACATAGACAGTGTTGTTGGCGTTGAGCAGTTCGGTGCGGAAGAAACCTGGCTCTACAAGAAGTGTCTTGAGCCCCAATGGTGCAACCTCAAGATTAAGGGCCTCAACAGCACCTGATTTCAGGGGACGTTAGTCAAGAAAGTTCCTCATCCCGCCATTCAAACTTTTCTTTGGAGAGCCGGGGGGAATACCTCTCAAGGCGCTTTTAGAAGCGCAATACGCCCCTAGGGTAGGAATACCTCCCCACGCGGCGGTCGATCCTATGAAGACAAATGTCCCAGATTTGCGTGCTCGAAAATGAGGTAAGAAGGCTCGAGTGGTACCAAGTGGTCCAAAAAGGTGCGTCTGAAAGACTTTGTTCCAATCTTCCTGGCTAATATTTCATGGATCAGGTACACGTACCTTCAATAAGGATCAAGAAGCGATGAGTCAAGTGAGCGCAACTAACCTGTCGTCCTCTATGGTTCCAAAGTGGGAGTAGCCTGCATTGTTGACTAGCACATCAACACTGCCGTAGATGCTGAGGCTGTCCTGGGCCACCTTGTCGAACTCGGCCTGGTCGGCAAGGAGGTCCAATTTCAGTACAGCCGCGCCGGCTTCACGAAAGTGGTCTATCTTCGAGGTGTCGCGAGCTGTAGCAATGACTTTATCTCCTTTAGCAAGGAGTGCCTTGACAAACTCGGCGCCAAAGCCTGAGGTGCTTCCCGTAATGAGCCAAACAAGAGGAGCCATGATGAATCGGTTATTGTGAATGAATATTGTGCTTTTGGGTCTGAGTATGATTTTGAAGACGGAGTTCAACGAAGTGAATGGCAGTTGCAGAAGATTATAAGATAATCTGAATCCAAGAAATTTGAAATCAAGGGGCGTGCGGCTTTTGTCCCAGCAAGGCAAACTTCGTTCAGTCAGTGGACTTTAGACGATTTTACGGACATATCGGAAGTAAGGTGAATCATAGATATAAAGGCATAACCTTACAGCGACATGATTCCAGTAAAATGCCGATGTAAGGCCTTATGTCGTCATGTCATGTGGAGTCCGAAGTCCTGACAAATCTCTCGACCGGACGCCATGCCCCCTTTCTAAAGTTATAGGCCTGGCGAAAGTCAATTGTCTAATCCATGGTCAAAGCCAAGAGGTGGACTGGATGCTTGGCAACATACTCATCCAGGGTGACGATAAGACAGGCGACGGATGTTGTCATTTTGGCGGCAACAGAGTAATATCTGAGCCACCTGGACTGCGTGGGTATCGGGCTTGGCCAATCTGTGAGAAAAAGTACTTAAGACTGACAACCAGCTGACCCTCAATGTTACTTTTGAACACTCAAGAAATAACAGTTCTCAGAGATCCTATTCATTACTCAAATCATCTACTGCACGTACGCAACCTCAATCATGTCTCTGATCAGCATCGCCAAAGGCAGCTTCCACTTAGCTGGCCTGCTCCACCGCCCGGAAAACGCTTCATCTTTGGCTCCAGGCCTCGTCGTTGTTCACCCTGGCGGCGGAGTCAAAGAGCAGACTGCCAACCTTTATGCTCAGCGCATGTCTCAACAGGGATTCGTCTCCGTTGCCTTTGACGCACTCTACCAAGGACAATCCGAGGGAAGCCCGCACTACCTAGAAGACCCAGGCTCTAGGGTCTCGGATGTATCCTCTGTTGTGGACTTCCTACAGACCCTAGACTACGTTGATCCTGACGCGATCACAGTTCTCGGGATCTGCGCTGGCGGCGGGTACGGAATCGCCGCGGCAGCCACTGACCACCGAATCAAGGCGGTAGCCGCAATCAGCCTGGTCAACATTGGCGACACGAATCGCCAGGGCTGGCTGAACACCCTGAACACTTCGGATGCTTACGCTACAGTCGAGTCCGCGGCGGAAGTCATTCAAGACATCGCCGGGGGTGGCAACATTACCTACCTCCAATACGTTCCCGACCCTCCCCAAGCCGACACACCCCCAGACCTGGTCGACGCTTGGGACTATTACCGCACACCTCGCGGCTTTTACAACACGTCCGAGAACCGTATGCACCCTGCTTCTGTCCCTCTTATTTATCGTTTCGACTCTTGGCACCTCGCAGACCAGTTTCTTTCTCAACCAACGATCTTGATTGCCGGGGAGGACGCCGATAGCCGTTGGGGCACTGATGACATCTACGAGAAGATCAAGGATTCCAATCCTAACGCAGTGAAGATTTTGGTACCTGGTGGACGCCACATGGATTTCTATGACCGGGAGCTGTACGTTGCTCCCTCGGTTGCTAATGTGACGGACTTTTTCAAAACACACCTCAATCTTTGAGGAAGGGGCAAACATGGTTCAAGAGACACGGCAAGATTTGACCAATCGAGAAGTTTCGCAATGTGGCAAGATAGGGGTACATTTACTTCAATAGTCGTATCTCCTCGACCTTCAGGCTTCAGCCTGGAGACTTCTGAATCACAAAGGCTCTTCAATCCAATTTTCGAACTGAATCGTAAAAGTAAACAAGACCGCACGTGACCCTTTTAGACGCACCAATGATCAGAAACGGGAAGGACTCCCATCTTATGGGGCATATGATGAATTTCCACAACGATTGTAGCGCACTAATAGCCTAGACCACAATCAAACCCGTCTTAGTGAGATGGCTGTCTCACTATTCTTCCTGGTAATATATCGCCTGAAAACTTCCGTTCCCCCGCTATCATGAAGACTTTCTATCCACATTACTTGACGCAGACTGGCTTTCGCCTCAAGCCACAAGGTACCAAGACTGGTCTGTATTAAAGGGTAGAGAATTTCTGACAACCACTCTTGATCTCGATTTCGGAATAATGAGATGGCGCCTACCATCAAGGCCCAGGCGAACACGAAGGTTTCTTCGGCTGTGGTGGGTGAAAAGGCCAGACAAGCCTCTTGGAACTGAACGGCCAGAAGAGGATATTCAGTTTTCAGGCCGGGAAAGCTCCAGAAAACAGTAGTCAAGTAGGCATGAAGTGAAAGTCTGAGAACTTCCACCAAAGAATCTCTAGCATCGTCATAAAAGTCAAGGACGAGAAGATGTGACTGAATAGATGTTAAGAACTTCTCCAAAGTCATGTCCGCCAGTTTTTCCCCTGTCTTGTGACTTGTGTTGATCATCTGTGAAAGAATCTGGACATTCTTCACGCAGATGTACAGCTGTCGGTCAAGGCCATAAATCAGGTCGCGCGAGCGGGAAAAGCAACTCTGATCGATTGACCAGTGCTCGAAATGACGGACCTGACTGGATAAATCACAAGCAGAAGACGAAATGCCTTGGCAGTATACTGGCTTACAGCCGGTACACATGCTGTAAATCAAATCCGCTCTTCATTCGGGATTGTTAGTACCTATACTTCGCTGCCGTGTCAAGGAGAAGGAAGGCAAGATGGAGCGCTGGATGCTTACCGGCGGATCTTTTCCTGGAGAAGAGGCTTTCCTTCGTACGACTTCAGGCCCCCACGAAGATCGATGATTTTTTTCAGCCCCATCATATGCATGTGGGCGCTCTCCATATCTCCAAAGCACTCCGTGATAAAGAGCATGAACATGACCACCGTCGTTGTGGAGTCAGTCAAGGCAGTCTGTGGATCGCTGAGCTGTTTATTGAGTTCGCTGACAGTTCGATATGAGTGATATTTTGTTCTTTCGCTCTTCCGCCCTGTCAGATCATCGAAGAAGAACGAGGTGGTGTACAGGATGGCGTGGAGATAGGCTAGATCGAGCTGGGTCCAATGGAACCAATAAATGTCGGTGGGATCGGAAGCAGAGTACTTGGCGATTGGGTACATGTTGGTCTTCAAATAGGTGAAATCTGAGGATTCCGTTAGTGCACATAGCGCCGAGAAGAGTTGCATCAGACTCACAAGTACAAAGGAGGTTACGAGCACTAACGTCGATTTCTTCGGGGAAACTAACGAAAGCAAAGATGCTAGCTGGGGGAGGAGATGGGAGAGGTCGTCGTATGCCGGTAACGTCGCCATCGTTGTGCAGCTCGTATCCGGCTTCATCTTCCTGGAGGCCGCCATCACGGCCATTCGTTGTGGATGGAAGCCCCATGATGACTGGGGATATCTGCCGCATTTGCAATCTTGGTTCCGTCCGCTTCCGAGTATTCTTGCCCCTCATGACATGGCTTCTTATGAGCTTTCGGTCTCTGCCTGTCGGCAAATCGCTTGCCGTGGTGACGACAAAAGCGAGTCCCTTTGCTACTTGTTCCCATGTCAGCCACCCAACTCGCATGTTCATGACGCATGTAATCATTCAATGCTCGCGTGCAAGGATTTACCGGTTTGTGTAGTTTTTCCCGTACTAGCCATGACTCTCTGAGTATAGGGACGGCACGGACTTTTGGTCGATGTCTTCATTGGGAAAACAATTGGAAATCAGAAGGTGTTGACGGGAAGTCCAACCTAAATCCGTCAGAACTATGTGGACATTAAGAGCTTCCGCTCGAAGCACTGACTCGCTTGCCAAGACTTGATTGTTTCCCTAATTCGATCTAGCGCGATCTGTCTCATGGTTTGAACTTAGTCTCAGTTCCATCCACTTACCCGGCGTCCTCACCACGCCTCACCGAGCACGTAGTCGGTTTCGGTCTGACACAAATCTCCTTTGAGCAACCCGAGCAAAGTAAATGATGACAAAGAAAAAGAGGGAGGGTTTAATCTCGTCATCCAGGCTGTCCGTGGAAAAGCGAAACGCAAACCCGGAGATTGAGCCAAGGCAGTCAATCTACTTGGCTTTGCAAGGAAACGATGAGACTTCATTCCATCAATATCACGATTGATGCCGCTGGAGTGAGTATAAGAACATAATTATTTCCATTGTAGATTTCACTTCTCTGCCGAATCAAATTGATAACAAATATTCTATCAGGATGCGGTTTCACACCATTTACAGCATTGGCATTGTGCTGCAGGCGGCCCACGCAATTGACATGAGAGACTACGCGCCGTCATGTGGCGTAGAGCCAGAATTCCAGCTTTGGTACAAAGAGTAAGCCAGACCAAGTGCTTCTTCGATCCATACGTGCTGATGAGTCGTTAATTCCACTTTAGACTTCTCGGCGCTTTTGAGGACCCTTTCGCAACTGATCGCGCCACCGACTTCTTCGCGCCCGGCGGTGCTTTGATCATCCTAGGAACAAGGAACATTGGCAACAGAGAGATTCTGGGGGCCAGAGGAGCGATGTTGCCCACGGATGGCTCAGTGCAATGGAACGTAGGTTGCTCGGGATTTTCATCTTACAGACAGTGGAATGGAAAGTCGGCTGATATTCTACACATAGCACTTCCCAAATCGAACCTTCGTATCTTCGGAAACGCCAGCGGATAAGACATTTGAGGTTGCCGGGGTTCTGGAGATAAGCCGCGCGATCGACTCAAGCTGCGCAACTACTTAGTAAGTCCTGAGTACTCTCTCCGGTCGCATTCAATTATTTATACAGACTACTGACAAACTCTACATATGTGTAGCTTTCAAACACACTTCACCGTTGCGAAGAACCCGGACACCGGGAAGGCAAATCTCACTCCGCAGGGTGGCAGTTTTATCATCTACGACGGATATTCTATCAACGCTACAAGCGACCCCTGTATTAAAGGGACCAGCAGTCATTGAGCGCGGTTGTTATTCAAGGGATATTGGATTCTGCCTTTAGAGACGAAAGATATCTGCTTATTAGCTTGCTTCGTTTGCCGCTCATTGAGACTGTGCTGTGGGTATACTTAGGTCTTGGAAGTAAAGTTAAAGAATCTGTTACTACTCTGTGTCTTGCACAATCATTCTAAGAAGTAACAAACCTGAACGTCATAGGTTTAGTCCCCTTTAGTATTTAGTATGGGTACTTAGGCAATTAAGGTAGTTCGTACTGAGTTCTTTCATAGTCCTAGCTGAGGCCAGAATTTTTCCCTACTCATAGTTGCTATGCTGACTTGACCACCAAATATCGGCGAAGCCGGGTGAAAAAACCATGCATCCCTTCTCCAAGGAGTTTGGGATCTGTGTGAGGTCGCCGACAAAATGCTGAAGGACATCGGCAGGCCTAACCCCGGCTACCTTACTTACATCTATCTTCGATGCTGAAACTTTCGAAACCCTACCGTCTACGTGCAAACTGCTAGTTTCGAGGTGGTTAGAATGAATGAATAGCATGAATTGAGCTTTACGTTTGTATAGTATACAGAGAGATTGAAAGGTGTCACCAAGCTGTTGTAGGCAGATATCTGGAGACAGAAGAATTGGAGAAATGAAAACACCGCAAATAATTCTGGGGCATAAGAGGTCTGGGAAAAATAATTCTGGCTAGTGGAGCTAGTCCCGGGCTTTTGTAAAACTGCGAAGAAGCCTGCCACAACAGCGTATCCCACCGGGAGGTGACTGCGATGGAGCTCCGCTACGACTCGTAATGCCAACCTACAAACACTCTTGCGTCTCAAAAGAGCCCATAGAAATGCCGTTCATAGTGGTCGGTATATGCATGGGTCGTCCGCGGGGTCGGGATGTAACGCAAGTCCGTCGAGACCATGCAACTGTATTGTCACGGCATAGACTTGATCATTTGTGAGGTATAAAGCTCAAGGTTTGAGACCTTGCCCTAATCAAACATCTCCGTGTCATTGTACCCCCATCTTGAAATAAGTATCCATCGACAAAATGCCTGAGTGTGGTTCAATTGTGGACGGGGTCGTGCGATACCCTCCTTCTGGGATCAATGTTATCATTGTTGGCGCAGGCCTGGGAGGCTTGCAGGCAGCCGTTGAGTGTTGGAGGAAGGGTCATGAGGTTCGAATTCTTGAGAAGGGGGAGGCGATTTCCGAGGCCGGTACGTGATTACCTTGAGGCTTCCTTTCCGCTGGAATTGAACTAATAATATGCCGCCCAGGTGATGTTATCAGACTCGGGCCTAACAGCTATGCCACCTTGAAGGAGTATCCTAAGATGCTCCAGGAATGGGATCAGTTCGCCTTTGACCCCGAGGCATGCTTCTGTCACCGTGACGGACGATTCGCTGTGCCGAAGGCTGAAGTCGAGCATCACCTTCCGGGAGTTGCCACACATGTGATATGGCCCATCCGAGCAAAGCCGATTGTCAGCCGACGAGATCTTGCTATGATGCTTCTTAGTCAATGCAAGCGATTGGAGATTCCTGTGACATATGGTGTAGATATCACCCGTTACTCGGAAGATGGAGAGGGTAGTGCCACCGCCCACGCCGAAGATGGCCGCAGCTTCACCGGGGATGTTGTGATAGCGGCAGACGGCATCGGCTCCAAGAGCTGCAGTGTGACCTTGGGCAAGCCGGTTCGCGCAGTGAGTACAGGTTACTGTGCTGATCGTGTCATGTACTCGACCGACCACATCAAAGATGCTCCTGCTCTGCAAAAAGCGATCGCTGAACTCCAACGACCTCAGATGCGCATGTATACAGCGTGAGTCTTGTCTCAAGTCACTACTTAAATCAAGGGCTTGGCTGACAGAAGACCAGCCCTGATATGTATATTGTCTTTCTCTTGTCAAAGACTCACATCTTTCTCGGCATCACGCACAAGGTAGGTGTTGTTGCGCACCTCTCATTCTAATCTAACACGAGAGACACAGGACGATGGCACGGCTGTGGAATCCTGGTCATCGACCGTGACCCCTGCGCAGACGGCAGACGTGATGCCCGACAAGGAGGGCTGGGATCCAGTTCTCATGGAGGCGATTCACAGCACCCCACCCAACACTGTTGTGCGGTGGAAGCTATGTTGCCGTAACACCCAACCAAAATGGCACTCCGAGGGTGGCCACATCATTCAGCTCGGTGATGCAGCCCATAGCTTCATCCCATCATCTGGAAACGGGGCATCTATGGCTCTTGAGGACGCCATGTCGCTTCCCGAGTGCCTAAGACTGGGAGGCAAAGATCACATACCTCTTGCCGTTCGAGCTCACCAGCTTCTCAGGTATGTCGGCAGGCGTTTACATTATGCACGGCCTCCTTTTTAATTACTTTGTCCTAGATATGAGCGTACTTCGCTTCTGCAACACAATGGTTTCGTCAACAGGCGTCAGGTCCACCGCGACATGAACGAGATTCTAAAGGATGAAAGGCAGCCCATGCTCCTCGGAAAATGGGTCTGGACTCACCATGCCGAAAAGTATGCCACGGAGAATTTTGGAGAGGCGTGTACGGCAATCAACTTTGGTAAACCATTCAAGAACACCAATTTGCCTGTAGGCCATGAGATCCAACCTTGGAGTATCGAAGAAGAGGAAGAAAAGGAGAAGTCTGGTATTTTCAATGAGGATCTGAAGAATACTGGTGACTGGGGATTGGCGTGAAGCACGAGTGAGGTTTATGGCCAGTGCAGATACTTGGTCCTTCAGCGCTTCAATCGAATGGATTTGGCGAGGGTTTGAAGGATTACGGAGATAAAAAAAGAAGCCATTCCTGGCGGAAAATTTGCCCTCGGGTTTACTCCGTTCTCCTAGGCCTACTTTGGTACTCATTCATTCAATCAATCCGACATTATGCTACAAATTCAACCCATTATTGACAGGTAAGAGAGCCTTCAAAAGGCCGCGTGAGATTCGTTGCGCCCTATTTGTGACCACCTCCCTCCAGGCTAAAACTAAAGGCACCAGATCTCTTGCCTTCGTCCCCTTCGCCCCTCTTTCCATCTGCGAACGACGCTAGCTGACTTACGGACCGTCCAGTTTCGGCGAGTATTACCCGACACATCGTTGCAGCATCAAGATCTACGGACCGAAACGACAATACATATCCCACGTCGGACTCTGCGCTAACGAACCAAGATCGCACCTAGTGATACGGTAGTCACTAATGGAAATACCCGGAAGGTTCCGCAGGCTGAGGATTGGACACTTGACGTCCGCGCAATCTAATACTTCACGACTATTCGACGCACTGAGACAAAGTGTCAGAATGATCAGTATCAAGGGGGCTAGAATCATGACACATATACGGACGGAATGAAATGCTGTCATGCAGCCACGGAATCTTCCTTTCCAATCAACCACCTTAAGCGGCCCTTCGTGTTCAGCTATGCTATGACGCTAGTTGTTTCCGAAAAGAA